CCCCTAGAGGACAGAGTGGAACTGCACCACAGGGTCTCCAAGGCTGTCAGTCTTCACAGAAGCAAAGCCCAAACCACACCCACTGCCGTGGAGTTGATTCTGACCCACAGCGCCCCTAGAGGACAGAGTGGAACTGCCCCGGGGGTTCCTAGGCTGTCATCTTACAGAAGCAGATTGCCAGGTCTTTCTTCCTTGGAGCAGCTGAGTGGGTTTGAACTGTCAACTATTTGCTTACAAGCCAGGACTCTTTCCCTACGTCCTAATGGCTGGTGATTTGACTAACCTGCAGGAAAGTCCATAATGTGCAAATGGACGCACGTAAAGAACTAACTCATCAGGAGACAATAATTGAGTGTGTACTATGTGCTAGCTGTTCTTCACCTCACCGGACCCAGACAGGCTAAAGAGACAGAGTTCTTTCCTTGTGGAGTTCACATGAATGGTGCAAGCAAGGGGGACAGGAACTGGTAGACAAATAATTTCAGACAAGATGAGAGCATGAAGCACAATAAAACAGAAACAAGATTATGGGGTAGGAAGGGGCTGCTTTAAAGATACAGCAAACCTCTCCAGGATGCTGACATTTGAACTGAGAATGAAATGAAGAGAAGAGAACACCTGTGACGTATGTTGGAGGAACAACGTTCCAGGAGAAGGAACCAGCCAGCGCCAAAGCCTCAAGGCTGACAGAAGCAAGACGGTGTGTTTGAGAGAAGAGCCAGAGAGGCTTAAGCACAGTGGACGGGGGTGTGAGGAGAGGGCAAAGTGAGGCCTCAGCAGGAAGGGTCCAGACCATTTGAGCTCTGGATACCGGGACTGTGGGGATGGTCTGGGGGTCTCTGGGTGGTACAAACGGTTAATGTCTCACCTGCAGCTGAAAGGTTGACCACCCAGAGGTGCCTCTGAAGAAAGGCCTGGTGATCTCCTTCCCAAACAGGAGCCACTGAAAACCCCATGGAGCACAGTCGTATTCTGACCCACGAGGGGTCACCATGAGTCAGAGCTGACTGGGTGGCAACGGGTTAGGTTACGTTAGAGATAATCTCACCTACCTTTGGGGTCGCAGCAGTTAAAGTGCTCAGCTGCTAACCAAAAGGTTAGCAGTTTGAACTCACCAGTGGCTCTGCAGGATAACAATGAGGCAGTCAGCTTCTGTAAAGATTGACAGCCTTGGAGACCCTGTGGAGCAGTTCCACTCTGTCCT